TGTAGTATATTGGGGTTATATTGGGATAATGGAAAAGAAAATGGAAACTACGGTAGTATATTGGGGTTATATAGGGATAATGGAAAAGAAAATGGAAACTACTATTTAATGTGTTTTAATCCTTAGCACAATCCTCCCTCGAACTGTCCTATTGTTTGCCAAGGACCTTCAAGATCCTATCTTCAAGAGCCCCGCAGACCCACCCCTGAAGCCTTGCGAGGTTCAAAGCCTTTGCTGCGCAGCCTCGGTTAGCAATCGTAACGAAGACTCTGGCCCTGGCTGCCAACGACCTGACGCATTTTGGGATTGCCCTCCACTCAGAGGGGCAAATGGGAAGCGAATCATAGTCAGAGTCCGGAATGCTTTTCAGGCATGCTCAAGGTATATCTTCGAGAGGGATTTTGACCTGGGGCGCTGGTGTCTTGAAGGACTTCTTTATTCCCACCTTATTCAGGAAGATTGCTATGAAAGCACAATATCACGTATGGACGTAGCTTAGTTTTTAGCCACAAGTTTGGCACTCTTTTGATAGCTGTTTGAGTTTCCTGTTTCTCTGAACCTAAGCAATTCTTGGGAAGTTGTCACAAAGCGAGAGCTGTTGGAAGCTTGAGAGGTTCCAGGCAGGAGAACTACAGACAGCGACCGGACATCACAACGTCCTGGCATGTCCTGGCCAAGAGATCTCTGGGAAATTCTCAACCGGATCTGTCTGCAGTACTTCATGACACCTTCTACAAATCAAGGTGTCCAAACGAAGACTTTCAATTAAGGGCGGACTTTTCAGCTTCAGGGGAGCCTGTGACCAACCCACCCGCCTAACGACAAAACCATCCAGTACCGTACAATTTTATATTGGTAGCTTCCAGTTGCTTTTCTAGTCCCTTGTATATCATACCCCCCGTACAACCCTGTCGAAGCGAAAGTCTAGTATCCCCCTTCATAACCCCTATAGCAGTCCTGTATACGATCCCCTTTATAACCCCTTTAAGGAGCTTAGACTATGGCTCATAGAAAGTGGGTGAAGGTTTTCCTCTCCATCTTCTTTGCCTATGTGGCCATGGGCATGGCGTTCTTCGGACGGGAGGTGGGTCATTCTCAAAATCAGAGGCCTCTTACTGTTTAGAATCAGGGTTTGGGGGTTAAGGGTTCAGGGGAATAGTAGGCAGTTTAGGGTACAAACAGAGCCTAAGTTGCGACCTTTAGATGCTGGTAATGATCGGAAAGGAACACGTCCATAATTGACAATAATTCTCCTGAACTGCTCCTAACCCGACAGCCCCAAAGCTAAACAAGCCTTCAAATCCCAAACCTGAAAACTAAACCCAATCCCTAAACGCCGGCAAACCAAGGCAGAATCCCTCTCTTAGTGTTGGTTCATTGTGAGCTTAAGTTCCAACAAGGAATGTAAAGTTTTCCGGGTCAATCTTCTCCCAACAAGGAAGCAGAATGGGGTAAGGTTATCAGGTGGAGTTTGGATGAACCCGCCCTTTTCACTATACCCCTATATACCACAGTATACCGCGTTTTACCCCAGTATACCCCAATATATCCCAATATACCCCAATCACTATACCCCGATATACCCCATCATACTCCAACATACCCTTATATCAATATACCCTTATATACCCTTATTTGTAACCTTTCCATATCACAACCTCAAACCCCAATCCCTAAGCCCTAAACCCGTAACCCTAAACCCGTAACCCTAAACCCTGAACCCTAAACCCTTAACCCTCAAAAAAACCCTTAACCCTCTAGGTGGAGTCCTTTGCTTCCTTTGACCGAGCATCTCTGGCCTTGCTACGTGCCTTGTGCCTTGCCTTGGTTGAGGTTTGTACAGGTTAGGGTTTAGGGATAGGGTTTAGGGTTGAAGGTTTCGGGATCGGGTTTAGCCTTGAGGGCTTAGGGATCGGGTCTAGGGTTGAGGGTTTAGGTTTAGGGATCAGGGTTTAGGGATTAGGGGTTAGGGTTTAGACATGAGGGGCTTCAGGTTGTAGGCTTCGGGTTTATGGATAAGGGTTTAGGGCTTCTGGGCTAGGTTTGGGTTCGGCACTAGGGTTTAAGGTTCAGAGCGTAAGGTTTAGGCCTTTCAGGGCTTGAGGGCCAAGGGTTGCAGTTTTGAGGCGCGTTGCAGGCGTTGCCATACCACAAACATGTTTTTGGGTTGCTCTGAAAGACCTCAGATTATGTTACTATAACAAGGAAACCATGTTATTTACTATACATCCATAATATGGTAACTTAAATTACACTCCCCCAAACTAACATGGAAACCCATATAGCCCCCCTGTAAAAGGACTGCCGTCTTTATAGGGCCCTTTTTGGGTTTCCATGTTAGTTTTCGGGTGGGTAGGTTCCTTAGCAACAACCCAGTTTAAGGCCCTAGGGTTGACTTCTTGAACATCGGAAGTCTGCTGGGATCCCAAATTTAGATTGCGGACATCGCCATATCTCCACATTCTTCGCCACATTCTTTTGTGGGGAATCTTCTATTCGCTGTAGGCTGTAGACTTTTGGTCTCCTGATTTTCTGACACTGCCCGCACTCCAACCTCATTTGGACTGTTTTTGAATTGGGTATTATAGTCCTCGGAGGCTATTATAGTCTCCGAAGTAAAGTAAGAATATATTGCCTGCTCTGGTTGCAGTATTCCTTTATAAGGATATAACCGTACTTGGTTCCACAAGAAAGAGAAGATTATTTAATATTTGGAAGATTAGTAGCTGGACTACAGTGTGACGGCGGCTCAGAAACAAAGTAAGCTCCCCCAAAGCGCTTCGCCCCAAGCATGGAAAATCCCAATGGAAGGGTGAACCATTTCAGAAATCGGCTCAGCTGAAAACTTGTGTGTGTTGTTCTGACCTTAGAACCTAAACCCGAAACCCTAAACCCCTAAACTCTAAACCCAGGTCTGCAAACGAGTCAGGTATACCGGGGTTTCCACAAGTCAGGTGTCCCTGCAGATGTGGGTTTGGTGGACCTGCCCAAGCCAGCATTAGGGGCTTAGTGTTTAGGGTTGTGACTTTGGGGGCCAGCCCCAAGTGGAACTCGCAGGCAACAGTCTGAACGTGCCATATAGAATCAATGTGTATAGCCCTAGCCTCCATTTCATTTTCATTTTCCTTGCGATTCGATTCTCCATTTCAGCAATTTTCGTTTTCGTTCTCATTCCCGAAGCCCTCAACATTATGTATGATATGGTAGTTTCCCAAAATGAGGGGACCCCAACATAGACCAAAATATATTATGGTCCTTATTGTGGTTACCCCTAAAATGATGCCCCTAATTTTCGGAAACCCCCCACATTGCATGCCTTGGTGCTAGGATGGGCGACTTCAGTGTCGAAGACATGGAGTTGCGCGGCCGACCCGCGACTCGATTGCAAGCTGCCAGGCTGGCTCCACTCCAAAACTACCCCAGAAATGGAAGTTTCCTAGAATTAAAGGTACCATTTAGGGGGTCCCCATAACAAGGATGGTGGTACTCTAGTATATTGAGGTGTCATTAAGTTCTCCTTATGTATGGAAACTATCCAATCCCTGAATGCTGTGGATGAATTTTGGCTTCATGTCTTGGCGATGAGGTGGATTGCGGATTCTGAAGCAGGACACAATTCTAGGAGAGGTCTCCTCACTGGTTCTTTGTACAGAATAAGGATTTGTATTGTATGGGGATTATCTACTTCGTCATATGGTAGTTTCCCAAAATAAGGGAAACCAATATAGACCCCAAGATGTTATAATCCTTACTATGGGGACCCCCCAAAGGTACCCCTAATTTTAGGAAACTCCCATATTTCTACTAAGAGCCAGTAGGCTGTGTATATGGGATAAGGGGAGCAGAATCGAGCCTTCCTTTGGGTAACCTTGGCCTTGATTTCGCAATTCCCCAAACCTTGCACTGGCATGTGAGATGACAAGTTAGTATATAGGAGTTATATAGGGATAATGGAAAAGAGCATGGAAACTACTGTTATTGGGGGTTATATAGAGATAATGGAAAAGAACATGGAAATTACTATAGTTATATAGGAGAAATGGAGAAGATAATGGAAACTACTACAGTGTCTAATTGCTTAGTGAGCAGACTAAAGCAATTGGGTGGTCAGTTGGTTGGAGAGCGAGCCCATGTTTTCAGGGGCCTGAAATCAATCAACCGCGTACACATGTTTCTATTTTATTTTCCATGTTCCATTCCGTTTGAGTCTCCATTGTTATTGGAGTAACCCCAATTCGTAAACTTCATATCTACCTGCGCGTCTTCGCATAATCCGTATGTAACCCTTGAATTCCTGGGAGCTGCTCTGAGCAGAAGCCAGCGGAGCCACTAAGGGACCCTACCCTAAACCCTAAACCCTAAATAGATGGACTGGATGCTCTGGGACGTGCAGTGCTTCGAAGACCTCGAGCTTGTGGTTACCACTTGCACGTGACTGTAGAGGGAAGCTTCTGTACCCAAGGCTACGGTGAAGTATCAAAGCGTTTCTCAACAACTTCTGAAGCCAGTTCTCCATTAACATGAGTTGGGGCAGGGGCACAAAGGCTGCTGTGGCCGCGGCGGGTGAGACTTCAAAGTGTCTTCCACAACTTTCAAGTTGTGGGAGGAGGGCATGCGTGGTGTGTTCGGCGTTGCTCTTGCAGCCCTGAACTCAGCAGATTTCAAACTGCCCAGGTGGCCTTCTTCTTTTTTGGCACCTACATGATGGCTGCTGTTTTGTTGCTGCTGAATATGCTCATCGCCATCCTGATGGATGTCTATGGACAGGCTGGGCATCTCTCAAAGGAACCCCTGTACTACAGTATGCTTTCTCAATTCCGCCAGGCAAGCTCTTTGAGAGGGTTTGTATGTTGAGGAGCCAGGATGTGGTGGCATATGTGTCTCTCGAACTTATGCCCTTTTTTGTGGGGCTAGGTGAATTAGGTATAGTGATGCTTCAAGGGTTGGGGTCGTGTATCTGAATAGAGGGAGTTCTGCGGACAATTTCCTGGCTATACGGATACATCCCGATAGAGGTTCAATTCTCCTGTTGACCATGCAATGACCATCATCTTCACCAAGCGTGCTTGTGCTTCTTGCTACTGGGATGGGACATGAGAATCGGGCCATAAGGATTCTGCCCTCATGCAACACTGCTTCCAAGGGCATGTTCAGGAATTGCTGATCAAAGTTCAAATGAGAAACCGTCCCCGAAGCACATTCAGAATCTTCCCCACAACGGCCCGAGCTGGATGTGGAAGGGTCTGAGACCGGCGCGAGTATCCAACGGTTGCTGCTCCAAACTTCAAACTTCACACTCAAACTATAAGGTCTTTCCGTGCCTCGTGGAAATGGTTAGGAACCTTTGCTACCTTGGGCTTTGCACAGGATTTTCGGACAAGATGGTGCTTTGCATTGAGCAATCTAGTCGAGCGATAGATCCGCTTTTCAACTTTGGGGCCTTGTTTTTGTGCCCCTATACTATGGGCAGCTACTTTGGGGGATACTGGGCAATCGTACCATGTCAATGAGATTGCATCATGAGCTTGAACCCTGAACACTAGATTATGACTCGGCTACTTGGCGCCTCGCAAGAAATGGGAATGGATCCCTGCAGTAATCACACCCTACATAGTCCCCCATAGTAATCCCTGTAACCTACATGCTAAGCGCCAGGGAGCCAGTTGGGAGTTTCTCAAAGCTACGTTGGTAGGGACCCCTGATAATCCTCAGTCCCCATATAACCCCAGGTTCCTTGATCAACAAAATGGTTGGCAGCAGAATTTACAGGAAAGTCTCCTAAAGTCCTCTTCTGCTTATAAGAGCCAATATGATCCAAACCCTAAACCCTAAACCCTAACATCTATTGTAAATTCTACTGTAGTGGGCCCTTGATTTTGGGAAACTCAATTCCAAAAGGTGGCAGCTGGATCGCGAACCAGCGAGTCCCTCTGGCACGAATGCTATGAGCCTTGGCCCTTCCTTAAAGAGTGAAGCTGGCCAGTAGACTCAACTCGTAGTGACTATCCTTCAGCAAGCATTGCAAGACAGTACCCAGGGATTGTAGGGAATGCAGTGTGGGCTTTCTGAACTGTGACTTGAAGGCTACTCAGTGATGGTTGGGTAGATCGCAGAGTGGCAGATCAGCCCGCTAGGGACCCCTTAGGCGAGTGTAGGATGTTTCCTGTTGTAAGGACATCATGCGGCGTGGAATGCAGAAGTGGACAGGCGGCCACACTCCTCTCAGTGAGGCCAAGATTGGCACCGGAATGATGCTCAGAAGTCAGCAATCATGTTTCGGCGATTGTGTAGGTGGTGAAGAAGTATGTGGAGTCTCGTGGAGAGGAAGCGTGGGAAAGTGACAAGGCTCGCCGATGCTTCGTAGTCGACCTGTTGATGCCGTTTATTGTATGTCTGACCACTGGCCTGCAATTCTATCAGCATAATTTTTTTCGGATTCGTCGAGGTGATCTATGTCAGTGACGTCCTGGCTGCAGTTCCAGGCCTGCATCCACCGGTTATACGTCTGGCGCTTGTCCACACTCTGATGCCCCAGGACTGGATAAACGCCAGGCGGAGGATGAGATGACTTCCGCACTCGAGGAGTATGCGCAGGACAGAGCAGCTCTGCGCAACTTGTCGACGCTGGTTCACCCATGGACTATGCTAGGAGAATGCTCCTCACATCGAGATAGCAGAGGCATTGTAGCATTTACATATGCTTGGATGTGTTGGCTGGATGAGATTGCGCTTTGCAGGTGATCTCCACTATGGGGAAGTATTTGGCCCAAGCCTGAGGATGTGCCCTCTTGCAAAAGGCCAGAATAGCAGTGTTGCGTGGAGGCTCCCAAAACAGAGTCGGAGGTTCCACCGCTGAGAAATGTCATAGATGTGACCAGGCCATGCCTGAAGAAGAGCAATACTAATAGTAATAGTAGTAATACTAATCATCATACCAAGAATAGTAACGATAGTCATGTTCATGTTGTGCCAGGAACGGAAGTGTGGCGGGAGATGAGAATGTGTCCGAAGCTGCGGCAGAGCTTGTACGGGCAGGCCTGGGATGACTTAGCAGTTACCGACGGCAGCACCCGTTTGTGCTGCGCCTGCAGGATTATCTGTTGAAGTCCTCCTGCGTGCTGCGGGTATTGTTCTTGCGGCTGAGCTGCATCATGAGACAGCTGCTTGGGCATGGGCTGACTCGCGTGAGGCGGGGCGAAGGCCTGCTGGTGCTGCATATGCTGTTGCAGCTTGATTGGATCTGAGGATACCACTTCGCAGAGGCGTGCCAACGGCAGCTTGACTTGACAAAGATAGAGTGCTTAGACTGTCGGATCTGGATGCAAGCCCATGGGCATCAGGCGAAGCACAAGTCTCTGCCTTGCGCCACATCGTTTCGTCTGCAGAGCTTCTGTGCAATGAAGACAAGACAGTCATGATGCCGGGCACCCTACAAGAGCCGGATTGGCTTCATGTACTGGGCAATCAATGCGCAGACTGAGGTGCCAACTCTGACGCTCGTCCTCAAGCTGGGGCCGGGCATGCGATGTGGCAAAACCCATTGCCGCATTTGCGCACCGTGTTGCACAACATGTTGTTAGCAGCGTCCGGGTGCCGCCCCCCAAAACCACCTCCGACTGGAGAAACTCAAGCGGAAGCTGAGCAAAGCCACAGGAAATGGTTTCACCAGCTTGAGGAGGTTTCATGGGCGTAGAGCGATTCGAACGTTATATCATTTTTCAAAACCCGACCACCTGCTAAGGCAACTCTTGAATTCAATGCACGGTTAGCGTAGGAGCACTGCAATCATTGCTGGGTCCTTGGTAATGAACGCCGCGCCTTCTGAAAGAAGCGCAGAGGCACCCCGCATTCTGCATTGAAAAAGGCTTCCGGAGCGGGCCGAAAGCATGTGGAAATCTGCAAATTTGCAGGGTGTATGACTAGTGTGCAGACGTCCATGCTGCTGGGCAACACCGTTGCGACAACATCAGCTTCGGTCAACAGCCTTGTACTGGTTGTCATGCACATAGCCTGCCACTGCCACCCTCTAACATCCCCAAAGCTGTGCCTATCCTCAGTTAGCACCGATTCTGGATAAGTCATGATAAGTCGATTCCTATAGATACTGTATACCGTCTCTTTCAATGGCTCACTGCCCTTGCGCTCATGGTGCGACAATGGCGGAGGGACCCGTTAAGGGAACGCGCAACCTGCCCCACGGCAGATGACTGCGACCGGTTTCTTCTCCCTGGTCTCTCTGTGGCTGGGGTGCCAGCTATGTGCTGCTGCCAACGCAGCAGTGAAGGACATACAGTTTCTCGCTTCAAGGCCGAGCCCTGGGAACCACAGTAAGGCCGAAGATTCGGGAAAATCACCCCGCCACACAGTCAGCCACATCTGGGAGGCGCAGCCTGGTAGATGGCCTGAGTGTGGGTTCCTTCAAGAGGATGGCTCCATCTTTATGGTGCGTGACGACTCGGACATGTTCTCTGCAGCACAGCTGTTCTGCAGGCGAATGATTCTCACAAATTGTACTTCATCGAGAGAGATTGCGGAACTCTGCCCAAGCAGCTGCCCCTTCTTGGAGCTGAGTAGCTACTCGAGTTGGGATGGATTTGGGAATCGGGTTCCATGCGGAACCGCGTGCGTTCCAGCGCAAGAGTGTGGGGCCTACCGCCCAGACTTGCCATTTCCCAATCCAAATACTCAGATGTGCGAAAGCTGCCCCTCCGACGGCTGCGAGGAGTGTGAGTATGTCGAGGCCAAGCGAGAGGGCCACAAAACCATACAGTTGCAGTGCACGCAGTGTGGTGAAGGGTTTGCTCTGACAAGTGATGGGCTTTGCGAATACTTGCTGGATAAGCTTCTGCTGAAAACCTATGCCATACTTGGTGCCGTGCTGGCCTGCCTTCTGGTAGTTGCAGTCATCCTGAGCATAACCTGTCACAAGAACTCGGAGGTCTTGACCCGAGGCCTGGAACACAGAGAGCGGTGCCTTCCCCACGATGTGGAGACCAAAGCCGCTCGACCCGACAAGAAGGGCACAGAGGAGATCTACTACGCACGAGCCCCTCTGTACCCCTTGAATGCCAATGTCCACTCCAGGAATATTGTAGGCGTGGGCCTAGCCCTCTACTACAACCACTTGGTGTTTGTGGCCGCCATTGCCTTCATCGGATGGGCGCTTCTGCGGTTTTCCGAGGGTCTCTTTGGGATGCAGCACTGGGACACTTTGCAGTGCGGATATGGAGGAAGTGCACAGTCTGAGGCAGCAGTTGCTGGGTATGCTAGGCGTCGGGCTTTGATCGCTCTCTTCCTGTGGCTTGCGATTCTGCCAGCATCGATCATCTTTGCGCGATGGCAAGCTTCTGCTGCTCGAACCTACGATCGCGTCCACACACGCATGGAAGACTACTGCTTCGGCCTGTCCAATCTGCCACCAGAAGCCACAAATCCCATCGAGCTTCAAACGTGGATTGAGGAGAGGTTTGGAGGGCGAATAGAAGGCGTTTCGATCTGCTATGACATTCGTGGCTCTCAGAACTGTCTTGGCTTCAATACCGGAGAGCTGAAAGGTCTCATAGGCAAGAAGCTAGATGAACATCTTCAGATGCATGAGGAGATCTTTGTGGCAGCTCTGGGTGTTCCAAGAAATCGTCGAAGGACTCTGCGTCATCGGATGTTGAGCAAACTGCCGTCCGTACAAGAGTCTGGGACGTTGAATACCTTCGACGGTGAAGTGAAGACCAAAGAATCTTGACCCTCAATCGGGCAAACTTGTAGTCTGTTCTGAACACCGCTAAAGATTTGGAAAGTGAGGTGCAGCTCTTCTATACCCTAACACCACCCCAACTTTGTCCAGGCATGGCTTTCAAGTCTGAAATGTAGCGGCGAAGCCTTCGTGGTGATGAAGCAGGAGGCCGACGTGGAGCTCTTCTTCACACTCTGGGATCAGCCAAGGGGTCTGCAGCGCACGGGATCCTTCTTCTCCTTCCACGATGGCAGCCCCACCCTGGAAAATGCGAAGAAGTCGCGGCGCAGGGACCGTTCCTAGATTGGCAATTTTGGGTCATTTAGATCCTTTTTGGCTTCGGTTTCGGTTGGTCCCGAGAACCGTCGAGGTTCGTTCCTTGGCCAAGAGCTGGAGATTCGTGAGGTCACATCGGAACCAACCTCCATCCTCTGGGAGCACATGGGCACGTCCCATGCGCAACTGGCGGTTCGGATTTGCTTTGCTTTGGTGGGCTTCGTCTCTGCCATTGCCATTTTCTACTTTGTGCTGTGCCGGCCTTACTCGAAGCAGTGCTGATTGCCTCGCAACTCACTGTTTGTCCTTGGTTGAGTTAGATTTCTTGTTGCAGGTACATCCCGCTTACCAGTTCTGTGGTGAGATATGCTCGAAAATCTGGCAAGCCTCCCTCGGCCTTCCAGAAGCTTGGAGTCACATCTTTCTTGGAAACCGCCACATCACACCTAAACATGCATGGCAGTTTATTTTCTGTCAAAATTGGCGAGGGACACTGAGACGGCTACAAGTTTGTGAGTTGATGTTTTATTTTTACCATATATCTTGTCCATCCTGCAGCAAAGTCCACATGTAGTACAGAATCCCTGTATCCACATGCCTTCACGTTTGGGACCCTCTGTACGAACATCCCGAAACATTCGTACATGCAGAAATGTCGAAGTCATGTCACATCTTGGGTGGCCCCTAAACCCTAAATCCCTAAACCCTTAAGCCTAAACCCTCAACACTATAAACCCAATAAAAACCTAAACCCTAAACTGTTGCTAATGTAGCTGCGGCACTGGCCATGATGAGGGGTCAGTAATCTGGTTTGGTGGTTATTTTCCTACTCGAAGCAGGAGCCTTTTTGGGCCGACACTGGGTTGTCCTCACTGTGAGACGTAAAACGCCGGTGCAAACAGAAACCTTCAAATGTGACACCCACCCACAAGACTCATCCTCGAAGTTTCAAAGGACGGCTGGCCTGGGAATCGTGGTGGGCGTGGCACGGCCTAGTCGAGCTAATGCTTTTCTTGTCTGACTGGTTCTTAGTAATATGGGAACATATTGGGGTTATATAGGGATAATGGGAAGAACATGGAAGCTATTAAATTACAAGAGGGCATATAATGGGTTTTTAGTAGGGAACATGGGAATATACCCCCTATGTGACGCCTGTATTTCATATTCCCTTATTCCCTAGTAGCAACAAGTAAGTTGTTGCTTTTGCAGAGATTGGATTCCCTCCCAAGGGACACTGAAAATCCCTGGTGCTGTAGTGACTTCGCATGAGGCAGGCAACAACCTGATTGCCAACCTGCTTTGGCTAGGCTGCTTGGCAAGCTCAGACGTAGTTCGACGAGTTTTTTGGGTTTGAGGCAAGCCATATGGGTGGTTCCCAAAACTATGGGTCCCTTTTAGTTATGGATTAGATTACGGCATCCAATATGAATGGTATCAAGATGGGACCCTAATTTTGGGAACTATCCATGTCTTGGGCCAGGTGTTCCCATGCTGGGATTCAAAAGGAAGGACCAGGCGGACATTGTCACGTTCGGCGCAGGGCTCCCAGCTCATCTAGGGAATACATTCCCATATTCCCTACCATAACCCTAACATATATATGTATATATGCACTGTCATAATGTAATAGCTTCCATTTTCTTTTCCATTATCCCTAGACAAACCCCAATATTTTCCCATGTTGTGCAAACTAAGCTTGGGACTGGATGGCGCCCCATCCGGCCATGCGCTGTCCAGATGCATGTTCCCAAGTTCATATGGGAATGTCTCCTAGCAGTTATCAGTTATCCCTCTATGTTCAGGGCAGGAACGCACGGGCGATAGAGAAACTCCAAGACGCAGAGAAAACTCTCATTTGGTGATGACACTGATGATGTTGTTGATGATGATGAGCGATGATGAAGATGACGACGTCGACGGTCATCATGATGATCCTGATGATGGTGATGGTTGTGATGATGACAACGCTGTTTGTCTTGAATATTCCGAACGGGGTATACGGTGCACAATATATCGTAAGATCATGTTTTCCTTGAGTTATGGAAGTGCATAAAAGGAACCTACTCTTACTTGGTTCAACCAGGTTCAGCCAAAGGAACACCAATCCCTAAACCTTGAATACGCTTAGACCCTCAATCCATAACCCTACACCCTAAACCCTAAACCCAAATAGCACTTCGAAGTTCAGGCACGGACCCTCCTGGTCCTGCTGAACACCTTCATCTCTGTGTTGCTTACTGCTCGGAAGCTGGCAGCCACAGGTCAGCCGGAGGACGGCTGGGATGTGGCTCTTTGTTAAGGAGGTCCCAGGGAGAATGTACCTGTTCCAGAAAGTTAGGGGACTTTTTTTTGCAGGTCCCAATGAGAAGAATTATTGTAAGGTATTTTTGGGAGATATATGTATATATATATATACACACATGTACTAGGTACCCTTTTGCGCAAAGATCCACCTGTTTCAATGGTTTATGTCGTGGAGTAGGAATGGGGGTGCCTTAAAGCAGTAAATGTGACTAGGCTATGCAGAGAGCTGCAATGTATGAAGACTCCCATATACAGGAATGATTACAGGCTCAAGGTTCAATTCTGTTGGGAAATTTGTGCGTTCTTAATACCTAAAATGACCCCTATATAGCCCATTATAGTAGTTTCCATTCTACTTTCCATGATTGGAGCCTTTATAGTAGCTTCCATTTTTTTTGCATTCTCCCTATTTCACCCCAATGGAACCCGAATATTACACCAATGGATTTGGAGCCTGTTTGCTGAGCACCAGCCCTACGTTCTGCGCAGAAGAACATGTTCAGCACAGCGGGGAACACCCTGGCGCGATCTGCCGAGCTTTCGCGTGAAGCATCCCTGGCGGATGCGGTGCTGCACTCGGAGGTCTTCATTGGTGTTATGAAGGAGCATCAGAGCAATGAGCAGATTGATCAGCGTCGATTAAGACCTCCAGCCCCAAAGGCCTTAACCCTAAATCCCTGTTGTAGTCAACCCGAGGTGCTGAAGATGTTCCTGACTGGAACCTTCTCATCGTGCATCTTCTCCTTCTGTTTCGTTCCGCTTACTCTGTGGCAGGCCTGTCTGCTGCATCCAGCGAAATCGACATGCAAAGTTCGAGATTAGGGTCCTTGAGTCCCCTAGGGTTCTGCAGGACCTGGAGGACGTGGGCGTCCCAACCACAAGCCCCCAAGCCTGAAATTCCGAACCCTTAGACTTCAAACCAACCCCAGCACCTGAAAGCCGTACAAGTCCCAACCTCTACGCACAGAAACCCCGATATCCTTAAGCTCAACCTTGTGGGAGGGGATCTTCTTGATTCGCACTGGACTCATGGGCTCCAGCCTCTCTGCCCGTGACTGCGAGCGAGCACTTCAGCCAGATGAGACGCTTGCATTCAACGAGGCTTCGTTTTGGGGTTGGTAGTAAAAATATTGGTACTGGTCACAGGAATAGTAAGAGTGGTATGAGTGGTACCGGTGTTAAGAGTGGTAAGAGTAATGAGAGTGGTCAGAGTAATCAGAGTAAGAAGAGTGATAAGAGTGATAAAAGTAAGAAGAGTAATAGCAGTAATAAGAGTCATGAGGGTAGTAAACGTAATACGAGTAGTATTCATTCATTCATCCTTTCGTTCATTCCTTCATCCCATATGCCATTGACTCCATCCAACCCGGGCATTATGGGCTACAGGCTAAACTCCCAGTATCCCCCTTAATAACCCCTATAATGTAGGTTTTAGGGTTTAGAGTCTAAACTCCTAGTATCCCCTTCATAACGCTTGTAGTAGTCCCCTATATACTCCCTTGTATACCCCCCTTAAGGAGTTTGACACTAGGGCACTAGTGCAGGATCGTAATTCAGCGCACTTCTTGCTTGAGTTTACAATAAGTGTAACAAGAATACTCAAAGTAATACAGGTGATAATTGCAAATAATAATCAAGAAGAATAGTTGTGATATCGGCAGCGCTACTCATAGTATGCAGGAAAAACTCTCTGTGCCATGTGTGGACGCATTTAATATGCCCACAGCGAGGATTTGGCTTCCGTGGGACTACGCATCCCAGCTGCATGATCCCGTCGCTCTGTTCATGGCCATCCTCCTTTGAAGGGTATCTAAGGGGGATATATAGGGATGTATAGGGATATATAGCGATGAAGGTTTCCCAAAGCATTCTTGCAATCAACTAGACTGACCAAGGAATGGTGTTGACATTGCGAATGGCCGATTTGATAATGCCATCCCCATAATTGGGCCATAACGCTAACACAGCGACTTATTTTCACATTCTAAGGTTAGAAGTATGGGCCCTGAATATGGGCCCTTAGGCATTTTTGGGGAAGGGAACAAGAGCCCATACTAGGGGCCCATGCTTTCAACCTTAGACAGACGCCTTGCCAGGCCAGCCACATACAGCTCACGTGCTGCGCATTCTTTCCGCTGGTCTGGGGCCCTAGGATGGGGGCAGCGCTTCTACCATTGCCATGTTGTGATATGTGGTTATACAAGGGTACATAGGAACAAACAAGACATATAGTCATATAGGGATGTATAGGGGCGTGTACAGGGTTTAGGGTTTAGGATATGAGGTTGTGTCATGTTCTTGTTGCACTTTTATGCGTTGTCAATCTACAGATATTGCGTCAATGACTATCCAGAACAGCATCCGGCATATTCAAGAAGCGGGACTTTCACAAAGCATCTTGTACAGAATCGTGTGAGGAAACCCTATATCTCCTGGTAACCCTTCTGTATCCTAGGGTCGCCATTGGTACCTCCATATTGAGAAATCCCGAGGCAGTAGTTTCAATGAATGTGGGGACACAATGTAGACGATCAGCCCTAGCATGGGGACTTCCAAAAACGGACCCCGTAGTTTTTGGAAACCCTGAACCCACCAAGTTGATATAGTGGGGGTACATAGAGGTATAATGATTATCTCTCTAAGTACCCTCAATCACATGCAGACGTGCCTATATACCCTGTAAAGGGGCCCTTGTGGAGATCTTGAATGATGATCTAGGTCCTGGCAGAGCCTCCTGGCTCCTGCGCGTCGCGTGTGCTCTGCGCTGCGTTGGTGATGTGGTGTGCCTCGGTCGCCATGTGTAGGGTTTAGGATTTGACTTGAGGTTCAGGCTGAGGGTTTACGATTTAGGGCTTAGGGTTTTTGTGGAGTTACGTAGGGATTATGATAAAAAGATGGTGGGTACATGTGGTGAGTAATTAGGGATTCTCTGGGATTATTGCTGATGTGGTACGCCTGTGGAGCCGGCGTGCCTCTCAATTACACGTGCTAGCTGAAAGTCTTCCTAGCGATAACGATGTCATGCTTTGGACATCATGAAGGATTTACGTTGCTTGTAGACATAGCTAATGTTAACCTGTTAACCTGACATTAAACCCACCCTCCAGATCTTCTTTTGGATCTTTGATCTAAGAGGGTAGGGGGGGGGGGATTGCAATAATACACCATAATAAACCTGAGGGTCGGGGTAGGACTATGTAGTGCAGCTGGTAGTATTAGTAGTACAATTTAAAGGAAATCTAATGAAATGGAGGAGTTTTCGGGTTTTCCATATTGTTATTGTCACCCCCTTGTTATTGCCAATGGACCTTGTTTACAACTTTTCGGGCCCCGAACTTCTTACAAAGCAAATGTAGTCTTCTGGCCCTGCAACAAATCAAATGTTGTCACCCCATTTATTAAGGATAGGTTAACATTACTGGGAATGTTTGGGTTATGGAGCTACTGGAGGAGTATACATGGATTGCACGAAGGGTACTAGGATTGTTTGGTTTTAGAAGCAAGCTATTCACATGGCTTTGGGGCATGCTCCCTGAAACTCCAAAAATCCTGAAATCCTGAGTGGGGATGTGTGGTAGTTCCCATAGTTAGGCAGATCCCAATATAGACCCCAGAACATTTCTTACTTCAAAGCCCGCCAAATATGTGTCCCCAATGTGAGGAACCCCTGAGCACACCATAAACCACTACATAATCCCAGTTTCCATTTCATTGTCCATGTTCTTTTCCACTTGATTCTCCATTATTGGTGTAATATCCCCATCTATCATTCAACCCTACACCCTAAACCCTAAATCCTAAACCCCCACACCCTGATGCGTGTGCTTCCAGAGCCCGAGGCGTGGTCATGTACTGTGCCCAGCGCATCATCCACTTCAGGCCAAGACATGTGGAGATGCCATTTATGCCCTGTTGATGGAATTGGTTGGGTTGGAAACATTCCTAACTTTGCATCCCAAAGCATATTGTGAGACTGGAACCCTGAACCCTTAAAACGTCCTAAACCTTAGACCCCTTAACCCTAAAGCCTAGACCCTAAACCCTGGACCCTGAACCCTAACCCTGAACCCTAAACCCTGAACCTTAAAACATATCGCGCTGCAGGGCCTCCAAGGAGACATTCTTCACAACCCCGCGGCTGGACAAGGCTGTACTGGCAGGCTGGTGCGGGCTTCATATGCTCACACACCTTAGGGGTACCTTTATAGGGGTTTTCTTAGTTGTTTTATAGGGGATATATAGGGTTATATAGGGTTCCGGGTGCTTCCCTGGGGTTTAGGGATATTTGGGAATGGAAAAGAGAATGGAAATTGCTATAATGGAGAATCAAATGGAAAAGAACATGGAAAATGACATGGAAACTGGGATTATATAGGGGATCATCGGGATTGGCGGTTTCCCAAACTAACTAAGGGGGACCTTTTTGGGGTCCCCATAATGAGGATTATAATGGATTGGGGTCTGTATTGGGGTCCCCCATTTAAGGAACACCTTGGCTACTGGACCCACTCTGTAGCAGTTGGAGAGCACTTATGAGAACATGACATGTTACATACCTATATATATATATATTGACATATAGATAGATAGATAGATAGATATGTGTGTATATATATACATGTATATATAGATAGCCCTGAATATGAGCCCGAACGTAGATTGTTACATGTTGAGGACAATACCCAAACGCACCTCAGAACTCGCAATGAATGCCAAGGCTTAAGGCTGGCTATTCTGAATCCGAACATGGCGAGAATGATCGGTCTTGGTGCAGTAGGCCGTCCTACTACTTATAGTCCCCCTTAAGTAGATGACGATGGGGTACATGGGGATCTCATTATAACAAACCCAAAGCCATATTCTATCTACTTAAGGGGGACTATATATTATGGACTATTCTGCCATTCGTCGTACGATATGTGATACATGGCCGCATGTGATTTGCTGCATAGGTTGGGCACTTCCCGTCAGCCAGCTTGCTGTGACATCTGCGGGCTGGGCGTGCAGAGCCATGAGATTTGTAGTTTGGATGCATTGTGCTTTTCTCCGTGTGCCAATGCTTTTAGCACTTCCACCGGCAATTTTGAGAGTGATGAAAGCGATGATCGAGCTGAGCGAACTCGGCTAACGTTTCGAGGAGCGGGCTTTTGACAGGCTTATCATGTTCAGAGTTTTTATGGGCAGGCAAGTGGGCAGTTCTCACTATTACTCGTACGATCAGCATTCTTCTTTCAGCTTTGATTCAGCACACTTGCATGGTATGAGATAAATTCAAAGCTTTTGTTGCCATAGGGAAGGCCGCTATCACTTGTCATTCTTCTTCATTACTGTTACCAGTGATCTTCTTGCGAAACCCTAGAAATCCCATAAAGTCTCATATAACCAGTAGATAGTCCTCAAGCATCCCTATGTAATCCTCATTTAACCACCGTGCAAGTAACCCACGTCAATCCTGTGTTGACTAAGGAGCTCGTTGCCTCCGTGCCGATTTGCATAGCCACCTTTCTGGCAAGCTGCGGCATCTATCTCGTGCTTCTCTCAAAGGACTTCTGCACGGCTGAGGGTTTAGAGGCTTTAGGATTTTGAGCTACAAGCCTCACTATTCCCTCTACAAGTGTGATGATCGGCACCACTATTGTTATTGGCCAAAGCTCTTGTGTGCCTTCCATCGCAGGCCCTTGATCATCACCAGAGCATCCGGTACCTGTATGCCACCAAGAGCGAGTCCACTGCTCAGAGAGTGCCCTGAGGCTAAACCCTAAAACCCTAAGCCCTAAAGTGCGTACTATGGCCTCCCAAGAAGATCAAGAAGATGAACATGGGTGTGTGTTCGCAAGGTCCTACAAGTCCGCCTTGGCCAGACTGCGCTACAGTGGCTTGCTCAATATTTTGCAGATGTTGTGCAGCTGATGTAGCGTTTTGTCCTTCAGATTTATTTCCCGTCTCTGTTGTGGTTGAGAACTGCTAGTACTCCGGCTTTGACAATGGTTACTACTTGATATTCGCTTTCCCCTGGAGGTTACTTCAACACGAACCCCATCCACGTGCTCATGGCGCAGCACATGCCAGACTTGGGCCTGAATGAAGCCACCTGGTATGAGGAGCGCCCGAGATTGCTTGTGCCTTTAGCCGTGTTATTTGAAAAGAATCTGCTGTCTCTATGGAGCCAGACTACACTAGGTTGAATGATGAGCTGGAGGTAGATGAATGAGATTCCAGAACTTTGCTGCTGCCAGGCCGGGAAGGCATACCTCCAGGCCGAGGATCCAAGCATGGACGCACGTCTCGGCCTTAGGAGCCCCAGAGTTGCTAGGAGGACACTGACGCAGATGCGTGTTGCATGGCCCATGGTTAGGGTTATATTGGGGTCATGTTAGGGTCATGTTATATTAGGGTTATATTGGGGTTATATTAGGGTTATATTGTATATTAGGGTTATATTGGGGTCATATTAGGGTTATGTTAGGGTTATATGAGGGTTATAGAAGACATCCCCGGAGAGTTGCAGCATGCTTGCCGGAATGCTTTGGAAGAGTCTTGCCCTATCTACTGTAGTAGTTTCCATTTTCTTTTCCATTATCCCCATGTAACCCTATATACTATAATATAACCCAATATAACCCTCATAGAACCCTAAGATAACCCTAATATAACCCTAATATAACCCTGATACAAACTACCATGCACTAGGACTTCCTAAATCTTTGGTTGGGTGCAGTCAGCTCCTCCAGGCTTTGGCCGCCTAGACCAGCGTGTCCATCCAGAATTGTCCATTACACATAATATTAGGGCTATATTCGGGCTATATTAGGGCCATATTAGGCTATATTAGGGCCATATTAGGGTTATATTGGGGCTATATTAGGGTTATATTGGGGTTATCCTGGGGTTATATTAGGGTCATATTGGGCTTCTCTTGGGATTATATTGGGATTTTATTGTGGTTGCATTGGGGTTATGTTGGGGTTATATTGATTGGGACTATATTCGGGTTATATTGGGCTTAGGTTAGGGTTACATAGGGGTTATGTTAGGGTTATATTGGGGTTATATTAGGGTTATATTGGGGTTATATTGGGATTATATTCAAGTTATATTGGGGCTATATTAGGGTTATATGGGGATAATGGAAAAGAAAATGGTAACAACAGGGATTATAATTATAGGGATTATACCTGCCGTCCTCTTCAACCGCACAAGCCTCTTACATGGTAGTTTCCGAAGACGAGAGGTTCCAAGAGGTGTACGTAGCAAATGGAATTTCCAGAGCGGATAGGACCCACCGACATGTTGCTTTCCTTTACTGGTGAGGCATCTTGTGCTTAAGGGCGCGTGGGACAGTGAAAATAGGTACTGTGCTAAGTTTTCGAAAATCAAGGGTCCAAGTTCGTACACCAAGGACTATGCCATGTGACGTATGTAAAAGGGAATCCTATTCCTGGAAACCTCATGTAAGCTGTAGTCTAAACTCCTTAGAGGGATTACATAATGAATTTTTATAGGGATTTTTAAGGGGGATACTAGGAGTTCAGACTATGCCTCATGTCACGTCATTCCCCCCTGCAGTAATAGCCCCTAGATATGGAGTTGATAGGGCCTTATAATATACCTACAAGAGTCCCTTGTGGTACCCACTTCTGGGTTGGGGACTGACCCAAGGCTCATGTAGGGATCATTACCGCATCGACGGGCCCAGGCCTCGAAGCGACTCGGGCGCTGGCGGAACAAGCCGAGGTTGCCAGATTTGACTATCTGGGGATTAGAAAGGAAATTTGTAGGGGATAATGGAAAAGAACATGGAAACTACTATAGAATATTGGGATTATATAGGGATAATGGATAAGAAAATGGAAGCTACTATACTGTATTGGGGTTAGATGAGCTATAGTCTAAACTCATAGTATCCCCCCTAGCAACCCCTATGGCATTCCCCTACATAATCACCTATATAAGCGCTGTTAAGGAGGTTAGACTACAGTACGCATGAGCTGCTGCCAATATTGTTGGATTATGTAGGGTTGTACAGGATTGGGGTTTAGGGTTCAGGGATATGACCCCGTATAGTGGAGGATACATGGAAATGAAGATGGAAAATGAAATGGAAACTGGGATTATGTAGAGCTATATACTCATATTAGGGCATTCTGTGAGCTACTGTCAATATTCGGGTTATCAAGGGACCATTAAGGGTGGACACAGGGGTCCCATTGGTAGTTCAGTCCTTATCTGTTCTTTAATAGGAACTCATGTCCATGAACTCCCTAAGGAAATCTTGACTGTAGATCGTTTGACCTCTATGTTCCTGTATAGTATGGATCACCAAACAAGTGCCACAAACTACCAAAGGAAATATTGCCTGTAGCTCATGTGACCTCTATGTTCCTGTATGGATCACCAAACAAGGGGCCATATTTCAGCACAGATTCGTCAGGTGTTGCGGAACCTGGGGTTTCTTCCGGGGTCATAGCCTTTTCTGCCCCGCTTGTTTGAGACATCGCTGCGCGCGGATACCAGTACGTGACAGGATAACATGTAGAAGATGTTTGGCCCTCGTACATCATCTTACCACGAGTTTTGCTCTTTGCGGAGCGACTCAGTTCCGCATGCATCAGTACTGTACGTATTTCCAATGTGATGTAGATTGCCATGTCAGCTTGCAATCGTCTTGCTTGTCACTGCTGCCGTGCAGGATACTCAGAAGCGTCCGCGATCATTCGTTTCCCGCATGGTGTACAAGGCCCGCATGTCTTCGACTCTGACTCTGCTGTCACATTCCGTATGTCCTGTTGAAGCGAACATGCTGAGTTGGAGAGGCTCGCGTTTGGTTCACCGGTGCCCCCAAGCACGCCTACCAAGCTCTGGATGAGACAATCCAGTGAGCACCTGCAAAGCAGATGCCGCGAGCTGCCACTCTTGTTTCGCAGAAGCAGCTGTTTGGGTGCCTCAAAGTCACAGATCCCAGGCCCCGAGATGGCAGCCCAAAAAGCTTTCCGGATTGCACCCTTTGTGAACTGCCTGTGCGGTGGTACTTCTTCTCCTGCCGTGGTCAACTGAGGACAATTACGCGCGTCCGTTACTTCGGCTGCCTCGCACTACAGTATAGCCAGCACATGAACTCCAAGTTTGATAAAGCTTCACTAGCTTTTTGCCATCCAAGTCCAACAGCATAGACTAGACCCCTGAACAGGAAACTCTCAATCCCCAGTTCCAGCTTTGTTCGAGAGCACAGATGGTAGCCGTGTCTGGGTAGATGGGCTTGCCTGTCTCGCGCCCAGCAATTGCTTGGTCGGTTTGCAAAGGCTGTGAGCGATGAGGCTTCGACTGTTGTGGGTCACTTCTTGGGGTCTGCATAGTAGCGATCCTGGTATCTGGGGGTACACAACGGGAGCGTAATTCACAAAAATGACCCATCAGCTTATGCGATCCCATTGACATGCAGCCATGGGTCAGGTGTTTTGATGACGTGCGTGGTCACTGAGTTTGATTGCGGGCACGCAGGTGCATCCAGACATGGGGGTTACGGTTAAGCGTCTCAGTGTTCCTAGCTGACGACTACATGTCATAAGTCTTGTAAAAGTAGCAGGCCATGACAGGCCAGATTTTGACAAGTTGCGGTGCTGCAGGTGCAATCCTCGACACCCAGCTTGATGACTTGTGCTTGAGATTGGCCACAGCGCGTGGTCCTTGCTTTACGGCTGCTTTCTGCAGTATGTGCTGACTTTGAACTGCGAGGTCCTCCGACGGCTTGGTGAAGCTGTGGAATGTTGAAAATGCCGAGGACGTTCTCCTTTATTCTACCGCAGCTTTCGCGTGTGTCCTGACGGCTTACATGATTCCGCTTGCTGTGTTGCAAGTAGGGTGCGACTGCAATTTGCCCAAATGGGTCAGAGCATGTCAGAGCACATGGTGAGTGGGCTTTGAGCAAGCATGCAAGCTCCGCAACTCTTATCAGCGTGTTTCTGCAACGCTGGCACCATAACGAGGACCCCAGCTTGATCTGTGATCTGGCTGCCCATGCTGGTGCCGTGAACCAGGCGCAAATTGGAGCTGTTTGCTTTGGAGGTTTGATAGCTGCCTTCGCGTGAAGGTGTCTTGGGCCCCTGTTGGAACGGGTGCTGGTGCCCTGCTGGTTTCTGCTGGCGCTGATGGCCGTGTAGAACCCTTGACTTCTCTGTCTCAGTAGGCTTTGGATGCAGTGGATCAAAGCGTGCAGTCTGGAGAGGGTCGAATGCCGCAGCAAAGGTCTTTCTCTGGGGCCCTTGCCAAGACCTGCAGAGGTGGCAAGTTGCACCGAGCTTAGAGGGCTCGAGCTGTGTTGGGAGGAGCTGCCTACCACATTCTGCCAGGTTCACGAAGAGGACCTCAGCAGACATGGTGAGGTCACAGCAGCTTGTCAAGCACTGTGCCAAGGACATTCCAGTTGTAGCCAGTGGCACTGTTGCGAGTGAGGCTGTATCCTGGGCTCCGCTTGGCATGGGTGCAGCATCAGCCTCATGAGCCTGAAGACGTGAGAAAGGCAGCAGTTGCAGCACCTTTGCTATTCCCAAGGCCTATGCATGTGCGTTGTCAGACGGCAACATCTCCGTGACCATTCACCAGGGAACAGTACGTTCAGGCCTGGGCACCTCATGCCTTTAATCTGCAGCGAATTGCCGTCATGCTGGAGGTGAGACAGATGTTTCACATAGATGGCAATCTGAGACTTTTGCCGTGCACAAGGGCAAGGTGCGGGCTGGGAGGACAAGTCTCCCTGATGCACGTCATGCTTACGCTGCCAAGTGCAGGTGAATGCTGTGTCATGGTCCACAGCGGTCAGACTCTCAGCTATCCTCAGAGCTGCCAGTGGAGATGAGGAAGCAGCAACAGATCCTACACACGTGCGAAGTCATGAATATCAAGTAGAAGATGCAATCATAAACAGCAAGAAGACGATGAGCTTAGCATTTTTTGAGAAGACACGCAACAGTATATACGTACTGGAGGGAAGGGAAACACTGATGCCAGTCAGGTGGACCCCCACAAGAAAGGGAGCCTCGCAGGAGCTTGTCGGCATCACAGCTTTTGGCTTCAGTTCCGATATGCTCTCTGTGGACTATCTAAACAGAATAGGAAGCCGAAGATACAAGATATGATTGTAGCTTTCATGTTCATTCCAATTCTGGCTGCATTATCTGCATCATGGTGCATTACATTCACCAATTCATTCTAATAGGTTATTATTACAACCCGATTCGCGTTTGCATGGAAACTCATTCAGAACTTGGTTCCCTGACGTACAACCTCAAACATCATGAATGAGGGCCCAAAGAGGGACCCCAAATCTTGAACGACCGCAGATGCGAGGCCTGGCCACTGCAGGGGAGGATGGTGTGCCCGGCTTGACTTTCGTGGGGTAGCGCGAGGGGACTACCTTATTTCTATGACGATTACTGTTACTACTATTGTTATTAATGTTACTATTAGTATTAGTTCTTGTCCAGGACAGCCCCACCCGTAGCGAACCACTCATTCAGTCAGCTTCAAAGTTAGGAGTTTGCCCAACTTGGCGGCAGCTATGCCGGGGGTCTCCTCTATTCGCAATTCACCGCTGCACTCTTGTGTCCCTTGCTGCGCATGGCACTTTGGCATTGAGAAGGCCAGCTCCCAACATCAACACACTGTCACAGCTTTCTGGAAGATGCCCAGATACCCCACGCACACGCACCCGAACACCAAGCCTTACGCGCGTTGGATCTGAGACCTCAAGAGTCGGAACAACGATTGGGCAAGATGGCACGGAGCACAATACTTGCAGACGTCGCAACCGGGCAATAATGAGAGGAAGGAAGGCATCTGCATTGTGGGGCTGGGAGTCGAGGAAGAAGAAGGAGGCCCCCAGTTGACGTACTCCGCTGAGCTTGGTAGTTTTTGCCAGGCTTTCTCTCAGGATCGTCACGCCTTTGTGCGAGTACAATTTCGAGAATGCACTCTAATTTGCGCTTACATGCCAAAGGCCACTTTTTGCTGCGAATTTCTTTTGTTTCAACTCCGAAAAGGCACAAGGGTTTTCTAAGAGCTAGAAAAAAGTGTGCTGTTGAAAGCTATTCAGGTCACTGCCTGGCCTGTACCTGACAGAGCTGGCAGTTGATGCAGTTGAACCCATTTCAGGCCTGCGCGTATGGCACATCCAGGAGGCAAGAAGCTCAGGCATTCGCGGAAGGTGAGAGCGGTGTCTTTAGGTGGATATATCGTGCGGCCACAAAAGGCAGTTTTCTGTTGAAAACCATCCCTTCTGAAGTTCTGGCCAGATCTTTTGAGTACTGTAAATGGGCATTGCCGCTGTGGCTAGGTCTAATGTCATGATTCCTGTGGTAAATTTAGATTATTGCGGTCATTGTCATTGTGATGTGATGCGAACGTACCTCATGCATCGCATCCTTACGCCCTATGTGGGTGTTGCAGAAATATGGGGCCCAAAATCCTCGGTAAAGGGACCCCCAACTGGACCTTTTAGTTTTTTGGAAGCACTAATCCTTACCAACCCATGTAGAACTACAATTTGCCTTTCACTTTCCCGCTTGTTTGGTTCTCCATTATTGTGGTAATATCCCTACATATCACACTATGCATATATGGTCACGCCCCGGCGGGCTCCCCCCCCCCTCCCCCCCCATGGTATGGT